AAACGGAAACCCTAATAACCCGACTACCCGAGCAACCCGGCTAATTTACCGAATGTCCTTTATACCGGATTTTGCAATAATAAAACCAGTAACCATTTCAAAAGTCACGGGACGGCCGATCATTTGGCAGATCGATAAAAAGATAACAAAAAAAAAAAAATCGGTATAAAATTTTTTGAAAAAAACGTTCGAAGCGACAATTTTTTATCCATATAAATATTTGAATGGCTTTTCTGACTCGGATATTGGCTGTAAGAAATCGTTAAATGCATAGCGATAATCATTAGTTGTTTGTTTAAACTAATTTTGTGTAAATAAACAATGTCAATTGTTATCGTTATAAGCTAATTTGATTGGTTGGTCATTTTAATCAGTATTTATTTATAAAATTGGCAACGTACGAAAAAATTGAATAACAATTAAACGTTGCACTTTACAAACTCAGAGATGCGGAAGAACAGTTGAAGTGGTGGAATGAAGGAAAATATAAGGGAGAAGTTGGAGGCGGACGAGGACGATAAATGGACCTAGGTGAAGAAGTTGCAAGGCGCATTGGTAGATTTGACTTGTTTCTGTTTATTAATTGCTATTGCTTCCTGTTGACTCCACAGAAGGCAGAAGGAGAAGGTGTTGAAAAACATTTGCACACTATTAATAATTTATATCCATCTACTCTTTAAATTATTTTTTACCTTTGCATGTAGGAGTAGCACTGATTTTAAGTTTCGAAGAGCTCATGATACAAATATTAGAAAGTTCAAATACTAGACTGGATAGCACAATTCAAGGTTTCTCTAGTTATATACCTCTAAAGGAACGAAATATGACTACAGCAATAGAAATATTCTCAAAAAATTTTATACAATCAAAGTCTGCGTCTAATGTTAATGTCGACTGCAAATTTCTTGTCTGTCGCGGAGCTCTTGGTCATTATTAACCATAAAGTATTATAAATTGATACCTGTATTCATCATTTTAATACTAGTTGCACGATCCATCAGTTGACGCGGCAGTAATAAAAAATCAAAAAAAAAAAATTTTAAGAATTTATCTAATCAAAAACCAAATCGGTTTGAATTTAGTTTCTCCATCCTTGTCGCAGTAAAAACAAAGAGGCGAAGTAAATATCCTAGCGGATTTGGTAAAACATTATGATTTTCGATCAACAAGTACTGGAGCAGTTAATGAC